GCAACGATTGTAGCCTAGTATTTCCTGCTAGAAATTCTGTTGGGGTTGTGAATACTGTTACTTTTAAAAACGGTTTCCCAATAAGAATTCTTAAAGTCATGAAGGAGAAAGCTCTCCAACTCTTGAGAAAACGAAGGTCTGAGAATTCATCTTGTTCAGATGGATTACACCCTAGGCTGCTGTTACTCCTGGCTGATATTATTGATGTAATCCTGACTGTGCAACTCTAGATGTTCTTATCTCATGCACGGTCCATGAAAAGGATGTATTCTGTTTTGCTCCAGAAAACAAAACGTTGAGATGTATTCATAATAGCAGGTGAGTTAAACGTTGAAGTAAGGAATCTGAGCCAGTCGGAAAGGCATTTTAGGGGTATTAACGGAATTTCATCCCAACGAATCGACATTGGTTTTAGTCTCTTGCAATTTCGTTCAGACAATCATTTGTTTCTGGTCAGCTCTAACTTCAATCATAAGGAGAGGCTGTCTCACATAGTGTCTGAGGACATCATACCAGCGGTGAACACAAAAAGATCATATTGCTGTAAGCCATCGTTAAAAAGGACTAGTGAAAGGTTGCCGCTCTCCGGACTACGCTCAAGGACTTCGACCACGTGCTAATACGGGTTCGTGAATGCCTGCGCCTCACTGGTCGCAAAAAATAGATGGTAGTGAGGTGTGGCTGCGCTCATTTAGAAGATGAAGGCGCCAAATATTTATTTAAGGATAAATCAGCTAAGGATTAGTATGAAAATGACAATAATGCCAATCCTGAGGAAACCTGGGGTGATAATAAGTCTGCTGTAGAAACAATGGTAAAAGCAATAGGTAACGTACACCCGAAGGATAGGAAACGTCATCTGAACTAATTGGTGTGAGGAGACTGATTCCAGCGGGCTCTGACCGCAGTGGGGAGCGAAAGCAACCTAAACGAAATTTACCAGGAGTCTTCGCAACGATCGTGAGGAGTGGTAGGTGGCGAAAGCGAGAGTGACGAAGAAGGCATAAGCGTTGGGAAACACCCTGCAACTAGTTAAGCTTATCAAGGATACTGGCAAGAAGACGACAGTGATTAGGGAAATCATCACCTAAAGGGATGGAACTCTGATTATCTTCCAAGACAGGTGGCTAGAACGCTGAAGCAATTCCAACCAGCCCTCAGCAACGCTTTAGTCGCCCAATATCCGGCCGGAACCTAAATGGCACGTTGATGTCGGTCTTCTCACTCTTTTTGAAATTGAGAAAGCTGTTTGGAACCTGAATTTGTGCGAAACCACAAGGTGTGACAGCTCACTACCCGACGTTTTCAACGATGGAGGTAGGAAATCGCTAATTAAAGTGGCGGAGATACTAGGCAATGTATAGGAATCAAAGGTAGTTCCAATAGACTGGTGTATTTCACCGATTATCCCAGTCTTTAAGAAGTCAGAGGTCTTCTTGTGACAACCAAAAAGGCAATTAGTTTGACTAATATTCTGTCGAAGATCCTAGAATCCATAGTTATGTGACGCGTAATTCGAGCTGGAATACAGCAAACCCGAGAAAACTAGGCAGGGTTCAGACCTGGAGAAGGGTGCATTGACCATATTTTCACCCTTGTGTAGGTCATTGAACAGACCTACCTGCTATTGGTCGGCATTTGCCATACTTCTTGACCTGAAAGTGGTATTTGACTCTGTCGACTGTGAGGTGCTATGGCCGTGTCTGACTGTGATGGGACTACCGAGCAAGTATATGATGGTTATCAAAGCTCTCTACTGGAACTCACGCAGCTGTGTAAGGGCTTCTGGAGACTTGTCATCTGAATTGACAACAACTAGTGGTATCCGCCATGGATGCACACTGTCACCGTTCCTGCCCAGTTTTATCATAGACGGAGTAATAGACATAACCCTAGGTACGTCTGACTTCACAGAGATTGACCTACTCTCTGGAGGTTATCTAATTGACTTGTATATATATATATATATATATATATATATATATATATATATATATATATATATATATATATATATATATATAGTAAAGATACTGAAGTTATTGTAGTAATTTTTCGCTAGGTCCTATGTTCATGTGTCTGTCCGTCCGACTAGGCGATTTTAATCCATATGTTTAGCAACCACATGCAGACCTTGCTATTTCGTAAGATACGTTAAAGGCAAAACTTACCAAGTCTTTACTTTTTCAACAACTGAATTCTTTGATTTAGAGGTATTTCTTTTTATTTGTACTTATCACTGAATCAATATCAACATAAGACCAGGTATTACTGCGTAATGGTCCAAGTAGCCACACGTCATATCAGCACAAGTAGCAAGGCAATCGACTGGAAGATGAAGCAAGAAAGAAAAACTGGTCAAAAGAAGTAGAGAGTAGTAAAAGAAAAGAAGGAGGAATGATAAAATGCTGAATTCAGTTTACAGGTTAAGAAGATCAGGTGTGTATACACCTGCGCCATTGACATCGATTTGTAGCCATATCATCTAGAGTCTCCAACTAATGGTTTCTGTTTTCACATAAACCCTAACTAGCTAGTCTGCATCTTCCTACAAGGCTCAGACAGACAGTCAAGGACTTCATGCGGTGAGGCCTTGTAATAGTCAGGCCACCCTGAGCCTTTTCCCATTCTGAACATACTTCAGTCAATATTGTGCGACGAGGCAGACGGTAATAGGGCATGGGTAATATGTACCAGTTACTTCAGTCGACGAAGGGTCACAGCGTAATTCATCAACTGTTTCAAAAGATTTTGAAACGATGGAGAAGATTTGTAGGCCTAGTGATGAAACGTCCACGACAAAATATCAAAGCTCAAAGAACACCAAACCACTATCGTCAACTATTTTTCTCATGCCATGGACTCCATGCCTGACTTCTTCATTAGTCACATGGTGACACCATGACAGCCTTTGGTATGAAGGCAATAGCGGTCAGATATCAGAAACTTTCTCATTTCGTCCACCTTTAATGGCCATGTTTCTTAGCAATAGAGTAGGACAGAGCGGATCGCAACAGCACACTCAACTTTTAATAGGTAATCGGGTATCGCGGTGGTGCCATAGACAGCGTAAGTTGTTAAAAGCGGATCAAGTTTTTGTATCCATGACGAGACTTCGTCGGATACTGACTCATCAGGGCTCATCTGACTTCTCAAGTAAGTAAAGTGTTCAGCGCATCTAACCATTCCAATCTCTAGTGTTACCCGGTGCACCGCTGTAGGTCAGTCCTGGAGCAACAATTCACGTTTGGGCAGAGAGGAACGCACCCAAAATATTCTCGAGTTATCACTCAGTGTCCAAAAGACTTTTGTTAGCGCCTTCCCCTATCAGAACTACGTCATCTGCGTACTCTAGATCTATTAAGGAGTCTCATGTGATCAGATCAATCTGTATGATGTCAGATAACGACGGGGGGACCTCCGTAAGAAAATCTGCGACAAAATCGAACGGTACCGGATAGTGGGCGTCATTGACGGATGCCACTCGATGTACACAGCTCACCTGACAATTCACTATAAACTCTAACATGCCCACGGGTGTTCGAGTAAAGAGCCTTTAAAAGAGTGATGTACTTATTCATTACCCCTTTTAGTGGGAGATACTGTCATATGGCCTCTCGATAGATGGAATCGAACGCTGCCTTCAGGTCGAGAAATACAGCTAATATCGGGCATCGGTAAGTGTACCTGTGTTCCATAACCTGGCGGAGTGTATCTGGTCGACGCACCCAGGGTCAGGTCTAAGACCTACTTGGTTTTCTCAGGTTCACTGTTCCCGAGCTCCACTCAGACTTTTTACGATTACATAACTTCGGATCTCAAGCGCTATATTCGTCAGGGTGATTCCTCGGTGATTATCACAAGAGGACTTCTCACCTTTATAGTAGACTGGGGCATCCAGTGGTTGAGACCGGAGGGGATCGTATCTGACTTCCACACACTAGTTAACATTTAAGTTAACTTGACTAGAAATCTTTGACCACCATCTTTAAATGCCTCTGGAACTAGCTCATGTGGCCCTGCTACTCTTCCTCGTTTCAGGTTACCTACATTTTTCTCGACTTCTGCAAGTGTTGAGGATTTAATCTCGATGTTTCATCCAGGCTTTGACTGTATAGTGGGAGACGAAGTAGTAGCTAGGGGGCAGTTGAACTGTTCCTCCAAGTATTCCGTTTACCGTTTCAGTCATCTCACCTGCATGTGAATTGCAGACTCATCCTTCTCCTTAATCGTCTCAACTGTGGACGTTTTCCTTCCAGTTCACTTGTCGTCTAAATAACTGTCTACTGTTATCAATGGCCACTGCCTATTCCATCTCTTTACACTTCACTGTCCATTACTGTTCGTGGTCATTGCGTACAGTTTTTGTCAGTTTAAGCTTAAATTCCATTCGCTCTTCGTTGTACTTTGAGCCTGCAGGGATGCTTTCTTCCCATCCATTAATTCATGAAAAGCGGCTGGGATCCACTGGCTGTTTTTAGCCACTCTCTGATAGTCGGCTACTATCTTCATCACTGTTTGCACAGTAGACTAGAGATGGCGCCATGCTTCTTCTGGATGAGTTATATTGCTGTGTTCTGGTAACTGTCGAGCCAGTTTTTCACTGTAAGCGGCCTTAACGCTCTAATTACCGTGCTGCACTCGCAATGGTCTCATTGTTATTGTTTTCCCACGTTCATGAGATGCAGACACAAACATTCGAACAAGCGTGTGGCCACTGTTGTAACTATACAGTTTTACATGAAAACGTTCCTGCCTTTGACTACTTTTAATTGTTTGGATGTGAATTTTCGGAGGGTTCTGTAATGCATGTGATCTTCCAGTCAACGAACTCGTTCTAAACTTTTGTTTCTTACTCATTATGTGATCATTAAAATCAACGCATATATGGACAGTTAGTTAATTTGTATTTCGAGGTAAAGCTGGGACAATGACAAACTTGATTATTGAAGGGATGAGAAATGTTTTGATATTAGAATTCTTAATCGTTTTTCTCTTTAGCAGGTACAATCAAAACACTGATGATTAAAAAAGTTGTCCATAAGCTAATCTGTCTGTGAACGCAATGCAAGCATATTTATTACTCAAGCAAAATTTCAAGTTCCTTGCCGTTTGCACTTGTCTACTGACCGTTGTATTTTTGTATGCATTTATATTATTCTGGAATCCTTATCAACCTAGCACGTGTTTGGGGCTAACATCTATTAACTATTTATCGGAAGGTATTCCTCACAGTCAGAAAGATGGAAGTTTATTCATGAATTCAGCATCAACTTTACCTTTTCTTGTCAATGAACTGATGCGCATTAATCACTCTGTGCATAATGAGTTGATTGATTTGCATCAACGGCGTAAAGAATTAGTGGATACCAATACCATTCTCCAAAATCGAGTTGAACGTCTACGATCTGCTCTTGTGGAGCATTCAAGGCAAATAATGCGTCTTACAGTGAGTTATTACAAATATATACGTATTTGTATATGTATGTGCATTTATACTCTTTCGGATCACATTTAACATTTTCCCACTAGTGTTACTATTAGTAAGAATACTGCCATATACCTCTGAAATAACAGCGTCTTTATTTGTCTCTTATTGAGGCTAATTAAATTTGAGCTTTTCAGAATTATTTATAACGAAAAGTTGTATTAAAGCTGCTGTGTGTAAACTTAGTCGAAGAAATCGCTAGACGAGAGTGTAAATCAGTTAAAGATGAAAGGCGCAATGAGGTTATATGAATAGTGATGAGCTTAATTGCTATGATAAAACTAAGACCAATCGTTAGTTAGCATTGATTCTGTGGGGAGGAATTGTACGATTATCACCCAATTTTTTTTAGAATGAATGAGTACCTCTTCTCTGTATGAAAGTAGATATCTTGAGTTTGTCGTCCAATGTTGTTATAGGAGACGAGAAGGTATATAGCCAGGAAACGGCAATGTAAATGTTTAGTGTTCCAAAAGGTTTAACAGTTGATTATGACTATTTCATCAAAAAGTTAAGTGGTTTCATCAGCAATTATTATTACCATTATTATTATTACTAGACCATTATACATCAAGGGCACCAGGAAATGCGCCACAAAAATAGTATAATAGCATTATGAAAACTTAAACGATGGGAAGTGGATAGGTAAGAAAAACAATAAGAATAGCATGATTAGAAGGGCAGTTCAGTAAGGTACATTCGAAACAAAATATTCATTAGTCTTCAGCAGCTAAAGGTAAGAGAAAGCTACAGAATGACCGCCATGGGTTTCGATTCGTAGCCATACCTGGTAACGTTGTAGGGGTGCTAGTTGTGTTACTACTACGTAAGGCTTGACCAACCCTACTTAACTCGATGTACTCTAGTACCTGCTTAATCAGTACCTTATCTAACGTGTAAGTACTGATAACGAAACACAAATCAAGGGGACCGGTATTCAGGGATATATTCAAAGGAGCCATAAATGTGATGGTAACTATTGGAGTAAAGTTTATCCAACTTATATGTTATGGTCCGCGGTATATGTAATGATACAATACTCCGATGTCATACAATTAACGATAGGACAATGACTTCTCAACTCGACATCCAGCTGAAATCAGAAGAAGATGATGGGATTGAAAGTATATTACTCCAACTGAATAATAATAGCTGGAAACTCAGTGGTTTATATATCCGTAGTTCTTGAGCAGGAAAAAACAAAGTAGCATATTAAAGGTGTAAAGTGAACCAATCAGCGTTTAGTGTCCTAAACTGCGGTAAAAATAATTGACATAGCATGGTTCTAAAAGAGCTCGAAAATAAGGTTTAAATTTTACAATGATAATACAAACATATTATAAGTTAGTTTTCTTAGGGATTAGGCATCCCTAACAATTTGGCTAGTACGACTGAACTATAGACTCTGAGGATGTTCATATTAACCGGCACAAAGGAGCGCAAAATGGCGGCGAAGTCTGCTTGTATGCATCTTCGTTAAAACAAAATTTAAAATACCTTAAGCATCCGGAGGCAAGGTAGAGGTTTATTTCGTTAATATGTAGTTAATTCAATTTAATCTGTTTATTTTAACCCTGGTTGCATTTTGGTGCCAGGAAGGTGTACTACAACGTCTGGAGCCACTGAGTTACGTGGTCTATCGGACTCCACCCAAGGAGTTGGGATGCACCAACAGATGCTAACCCGCTTCTTCCGTCCAGTCTCAGGGCTGACGAACAATGAACGGTATGTGAGCCATTGGGATGGCATGTGTAACACATGTCCAAGCCACCGAAGCCGGTGTTTCCAAATGACTTTACTTATTAGATGATGATCTCTACCATGATCAAACACTCGTCGTCGTACCTTAGAATTACCTGCATGGTGTTGCCACCAGATACAAGCAGTCTTACGGAGACAACCATGGTCGAACACACAAAGTTGTCGCACATTATCAACTCGGAGAGGCCAGGTTTCATAGGCGTAGAGCAGAATTCTCTCACCGAAGCGTTGTAGACCCGACTTTTACAGTCAGACTAGCGTCGGAATGGCTCCAAAGGTGACTCAGATTGGTGTATGCCAGTTTGGCTTTCGATGTGCGCTTGGAAATTTCACCACGCACCTCCACCAGGCCTCACACAACTACCTAGGTACACGAACTTTTCGACTACTTCCAACGGCTCACCACCGAGGGTGAGTGCAGGCACAGGCTCCTACCAATTCTGTAAAAGTATTTTGCTTTCCAATAGTAAAAAGCACATACCATACTTACGGACACTAATCGCCAACTGATTAAGTGCGACTTGAGTAGTCTGTGTGTTATTGCACACTAGGACGATATCGCTCATATATTCAAGGTCGAGTAGCCGTTCCCTGGGTAGTAGGTCTACACCACCATCACACACCTCCTTCAGAGCTGTCTCGAGAATGTCATTGATGGCAAAGTTAAAAAGGAATGGAGAAATCGCGGGCAACCCTCCCTAACCCCACTGCTGGTTTGAAACAATGGAGACAGGTGGTTGTATGCTCTCACTCTACCTGAGGTGTTATTATACGGAGGTTTCAGGATGTTTATAAATTTTTCAGGCACTCCGCTCTCCAACAGACAATCGCAATCTATCCGACGAATCGAAGGCAGCCCTAATGTCAAGGAACAACGATTAATAGCCTGCAATACATGTAGCGATGTCCAAATATCTGGTGGAGGGTAAAGACTTGATCAGTGCATCCACAGCCTGAACGAAACCCTGCCTGCTCCTCGCGAATCATTTTCTCACGTGTTTTGTAAGGTCTGCGAAGTATGGTAGCAGCCACTATTTTCATCGTGACTGGTAACAGACTAATGCCCCAATGATTGCCACATACATGACGTAGACCTTTTTTAAAGATTGGCACAACGATGAATTCATTCCAGAGTGATGAAACACTCTCAGTCTGCCATACTTTCTCAAAACTAGTCACTTCCCAGAATAGAGCCGTTTTCCCATTCTTAAAAAGATCTGGGAGTAAGTTGTTTGGGTTGGATACCTTGTGGCGTTTCGGAACTCAAAGTTTCTTGTGGATCTCCGCTTCGTTAAGTGGGTCAGTGTTAACTAACCATGGAGCACCTTACACTGAAGCCTACAATGCTAAAGCAGTGGGCCAGCTAAACTGCTTTTCTAAGTGCTCTGCTCAGGGTTTCAGGCGTCTTTGAAGATTGTTTGTCAGCGTATCATCTACCTCACAGACCGTTTAACTGGCACTAGGCTTCTTACTGCCAGTGGTTCGAATGAGCTGGAACAGTTGCTGACTTTTGCCAGATACATCTATTACTTCCACCTCACCTGCTCATTCTGACCACCAAGCATCAGGGTCCCTGCGTAAGCGTTGTGTAATCTTTCGCGTAAGAGACCCCAACCATTGTACTTGCTATCCGCCGGAATGGTCCGACGGGCGTCAAGAAGTAGTAGGGAGCTCTGAGAGACTCAGTGTTTATTAGTGGGACGTCCTTCCTAGCTTAAAGCGGCTTTACTCATGGCGTCTTGCAAGTGTAGACGATGCTCGTCTACACTTTCCGGAGGATCAATAGTTAGCCTAGAACCTAGCTCTTATTGGTATTTAGCTGCCCTGTTAGGTGCAACTAGTTTGCTTGCATCGACCTGTTTAAGACGATGATTTTGATGACCACCAGAACGCAAAACGAGCGTAGCACACACTAAAGCATGACCAGAGTCCAAGCAAGTGCTCCATATGGAGCGGGAGTCCTGTATGCACTCACAGCATAGGTAGATGATTGCGGTACGATCTATTTGAGTTCAATCTTTATTGACAGGTAAGAGATCAAGTAGCACAACGGCAATGGCTGTGCCGAAAGTCGGTGCTGGCTAGAAATATGTTGTAATCTGCGCAAAGCTGCAGAAGACGATTCCCATTATCCGACCTGCAGCCAACTAGTCCCCATTGACCGCCTAGAGGACTCTCCTCTGAGACCAAAGACCCAACCTGCGCATTCAAGTCCCTGACTAGCACTACGATATCTGTCGAGCTCATTTGGTTGAGAAAGTCACTCAGTTGATGATAGAATTCATCCTTGATTGCATCCGAGCTGAAATCGTTCAGAGCATACACACATGACAAAGAGACATTGTTTCTCTTGGCGGTTACTTCTTATTTGTGTTGGTGCGATACCGACACCAGCGATGCCGGTTGCCAATGCCACAGGGTCCCCGGATAAGCGCACATAAAACATACTTTTCGAGCTGACAGATGGGGAACTAATTCGAAGCACTTCACTGGGGTCTTGTATGTTGGTCTCTGAGACTTAGCATACATCAGTAGCGAGGCTTTCTAGTGTCCTAGCCAGACCTGCCCGTTATCTGATCTACATCAAGGTGCGAGCGTTGAAGTTGGCGAGCTCAAATGGCATGCGTGGTTTCAGGGTAGCTGTGTCAGATGTCGCATTGAAGGACAACTTTATGAGGGCAACTGTTTAGCGACTCAAAATGTTACAGACAGACCAAAAGTGAAGTAACGATAAAGACAAAAGTGGAAATGGTAATAATAAAAAAAATACAGTTCACACGCTAAAACAACAAACAATATGATAGCAATAAATTGAGTGATCGATTAAAATGTTCGTAGTGTGGGGAGCTTGAGTATTCGCACAGAAGTTGATTAATAGCTTCGAAATCTTCATTTTACGAAGTCAGTTAGTGTAGCGATGAAGCAAGTGTGATGAAATATCAGAGCTGGAGATTACTTAAGAACTAGTAGCTACTGTTTCAAGTTATCAGCAAATAAGTAAGCGAAGATAAATACTTTCATTATGATTGATGGCCACCATCACCCAAATATGAAATATTTAGCACACAGAAGAGAATACAATACGAAGTTGTAATTACATTATACATTTACGGTTTCAGAATAGACAACGAAGGGCAGGTAGATTATTTTCGACTTTATTTTCTAAGTTATTACATGTTTCTGGAACTTATTCTCTCATATAATGAACTGATGGAGTCGTATTGAATGGTAAGGAATAAAACAATTGTCATTAGTAATATAGTATTTTAATGGTCGTAAGGGAAAATTATTGTACTAAGCTACGGACCAAGATCGTTGTGTAGTCGTTCAGACTAAAAATGAAGTAAAGCCATTGAAAAGATACAAGATAGTATTTTAAACTAGTGATTGGAATAGTCATCCTATAGCTTGATTTGTGGATACCTTCATTTAATTTACTAATTTTAATGTAATTATTTGCTTTGTACTCTAGGTCACTTTGGATTCTTATCAGCAGAAAATTTCGGATATTACTAAGTCATCAACTGTGTTTTATCATAAATGGCCACTTTTTCAAGTTCAGTTTGGTGAAGAAAATGACTATCATACTAAAATTGTAAATTCAGATAAATTCTGTACTATAGAATCATGTATTAATTGGGATCGCTGTCGTGGTACCAGATTTCTGCAATTTTGCACTGATCCATCTGTCTTCACCAGTTCAAAATGGCCTCAAGAATTATTTCGAAGTTCTCCCCACTTTACTGCAAGTTGTAATGGTAAAGGATCTGCGTGTTTAAAATTAGTGGTTGGTAGTGAAGGGATTGAAAAATGTGTTGTCGAATCTAAGATTATTACAGCGAACTCACCAACTTGTATTGTATTATTCTCCGATTCTTCAGAACTCGACAAAGTTTATCAGAAATACAATTATTCAGCTAGTCATTTCAACTTTATCTTGGTGGCTTATTCGTTTCCTCCGAATAAATTTCGACGTGGGTTCGATTTCTTGCTTCCGATAAATTGCGATATTTTGCATAAATATTCGCACAAGATTTGCCTTAGTGATGCACCTTTGCGTTTACTACCGGGCAGACGTTCAGTGTTGCTTGGATTTGAAGTTGGCATATTATTTAGAAATCATATTAAAACTCAGTTTTCAACTTTGGACAGTTGGATAATTGAACATCTAGAGCTACTGTATAAACGAAGTCACAGGAGGAATGAAACAAACTCTGTCATTTCCATATCGATTCATCAGACAACTGAGAAACAGAAGAATTGTTGGTCAAATAAATATAAGGAGTTTCTTTTACGAAACTTGCTACTGGATACTGATTGGTTCCCTTGTGAGGGTGCATCATCAGTAAGTTACACTCTTAAACCACTCTTTTACTTCATGGTACAGTAGAAATGACCTCTGTAAACACTCATGAAGATTATGTCAAGCTTACTTTTAGGTAGAGTTGTGCTAGATATGACGCCCTGGTTGGTATCGGACGTTTTTGTTTAGGAAACGTCAGACACTAGGCATGGTAGGACTACTACAACATTCCCAAATTGAACTATAAATATAGATCAACTTCATAGAAATTGTTTGTAAGTTTTAAGAGAATGAATAGTAATTTTGGTCAAAACGGGAGAGGTTTACACGAGAACTAGACGTTAACTAGTAAAATATTGAAGCTATGACATCAAAAAAGTTTTTTTATGATGTTTATCCAGTCTTTCAGGACTGTTGAACATACTTCCAGATTTTTGTAGTATTATTTTTATTTGTCCCCTTGGGTTCCTAGTGAAACATAGAGCTTCAGTACCACGTTACCACTTCACTCTGTTCTCTACAGTCTTTTTAACCTGGCTCCACGACTGCCCACAAGTTTTCATTTCTTTCTCACACGACCTCCTCCATGTCACTATCGGATGCTAAACTCGTCGTTTCCCATTTTGGTTCCACTTGAGGGCCTGGCCTGGTGCGTGATGTCCCCGAATGGTCTTCTCGGTGTATGTCCGATCCAATTCATCTTCACTTTCTTCTGCATATTTATTGAGCGATAGGTTCTTGATTGATTCGTTGCCAGCCACAGTGAGTTCCTTGTTACTTATTCTTTCTGACCATCTGCTCTTCAGTATTGAGCGAGCGTAGGCGGCAGCTGTTGATGTATGATATCTGTAGTTTGTTGGAAGTGCTTTTCGTAAGGCACCAAGTCTGTGAACCATATAGAAGCAGTGACTTGATTGACTTGGTGTTTAAAATCGGGATGTTGTTCACGCTTTCTCCTGAGTAGAGTAGAGTGCAAAGCAGCAGATGTCCACACTGATTTCAGATTAATGCAGGAAGGCCTGTCTTGCTGTCTTTCCGATACTGGCTGGCTGGCTTTGACGTCGTCATGTGTGCCTGTACCTCCTGTAGTTGAAACGATGTTGCCTAGGTAGGTGCTAACGGAATTATTAGCTCTAATTTTCGATGTTTGGGTTATTAAATTATCGAAAATGTGAAGATAAATTGCTTATTATGTGGTTTTAAATTTAGGTATAACTTAAGTGAACTTGTACACTAGGAGTCCTAAATGTCACTGCAGGAATGGTCTACGTGATCTTCTGTTATATTATATCAATCTCAGAGTAATTTTTAGATCCTGTTAAGGAAAACCTTTTATGGCAGCAATCTAAGTATCCACTGAATCATTTTCTTACTGGTTCAACACCAGTTTTGATGCAGTACTCACAATTAGTTTTTCCAAGGAAGCATATGATTTATTTCCTCAAATTTCATGGTGCATGAATTAAGTGTCATTCATTTGCTTACGATGTTGCATGTTTTAGCGGTTAGTGTAACTACATGTCTCATACTTCCTCTTACTGTATGTTTGAGTGAATTTCTATTGAAAACTCTATTTAACTCATGTAGTTGTCTATTTTGTCTACTGTAAATGACTAGTTTTCTCTTAGCAAAACCTATTTTAACTTTTGTCAAAGTGATCAAATTGTTTATATATTTTGGTTTCTAGAATAAGAGTATTCAGTGGTAAGTAAATGAATAAATTCCCAGTTACACTCTTATTATATATGCTATATTCCTGTATATTTTATTTCGTTTACTTTTTTCTTATCTCTAAGTGCTATATATTGTATTGAACATATTTTCGCGCTTTCCATAAGTACTTTGCAGTGTTGGCCACCATATCGTGTGTTGATTGAATAAAGTTCACCATTTGACCAAATCATTAACACTAATTCATGTTTTATAGTAAAAGTATTAACAGTATACTTTATGCAAATGTGTTGTAAAGAAGCTCAGTGAAATAGATTGTTATTTTACCGGGTTTTTTTTTCAAAAAAAGGCAAGTCGATGGATGAGGTTGTAAACCTTAGTCAACTGAGATGGCTTAGACATGTACTGTGCATTTTGAGCCACCACCTACCTCGATGTGTCATGCTAGGTGAAGTTGAATTAGGTTGGAAGAGGGTTCAGGGTGGCCAGACCGAAACCTGGCACCAGTCGATGAAGTCTTTTACTGTTGATCTGAGTCATATGGGGAGATTCAAACTGCTTGGTTGTGTTCTTCGAGATGAAAGAAATCAGTGGTTGGGGACTCTTTGTGACATGGCTGGAAATTCGTTACAATGGCGCAGATGTATTCACTCTTCGATATCTTCGTAATGCTTGAGAATTCACACAAACCTTTGTCTTCAAATTGTTTATTCTCTCACACAACTTTGTCTACTTTGATATGTTTTTTTATCCACCCTTTCTTTGTGTGAAGTGTGTCAACTTGAACCGACACAGTTGTGTGCTAGGTTCTACGTTGATTTTGTCAGTCAGTCAGGAGTTTTTTCATTTTCTTTTTCTCATTTGTGGTTAATTTATTGAATAGACATAAACAACAAAGAACTTCATACTATCTGAGGTTGTACTTTATTCATGTCTCTTTTTTGAAAACGGCACCAACCAGGAAGCGATTGACAGAAATGTAAAAATTTACTAATTCTTTCAATTTAACTTCATCAGACCTCATATGTGTATGGTGACAACTTGTGTAATAAAGGTCCTCAATAATTATTTTTAGATGTCGCACTTAGTTATACTATTAATTTTGTAGATTTGTCCGTAATTTTTTAAGCCACTTTGGCTTATTTCATCTACAAAGAAAGTGACCCTGTGCTTAATCATACCAAATAACTTCATAACTAGGTTGTTTTCAGCCGGTACAATAGGCATACACTTCTAAATCTTGGGATTCGATATACAAATTAGGAAGCTTTACATTTTTAAAGGTTTACTCTACTATTTTAAAAGGAAATATCAGTTTATTGATTATGTATGGGTAGTCTGGTAAGTACCTTTGCATTCTTCAGTAGTGAACTATCTAAAAAGTACTAGTCTACCCACTTCATATTTTGGCTACGTTTTTCCCCATACATTAGTCATAACTGAAAACTATTATAAAAACATAGCTTAAGTCAATGAATAATGAAACCTTGTTGTGCCTATATTGTTTTATTTTTTGATTTGCACCACTTTTATCAAGTTGAATTATAATCTGTTTTATTCTTTAGCTGCTTCATAAATCAACATTTGGATTAATAATGACTACTTCTGGAAATTCATATATGAGTTTGGGGGTAAGAGTGCAGCTAATCATATGTTTAGCTAATGGTGCGATCCCTGTCTTCCTTGGAAATAATGACCTATACTATGATGAAGCAATTGATGCACAATTGATATCTAAGGCTGTCCTACGTGTTCCTATACCTCGAATTGAAGAACTTCCAGTCCTACTTCAGTCTCTCTCTGAAGCACACATCGTTGAAATCCGCCGACAGGTTAGTCATATTGTCGTAATTATATAAAAATGGACAGTACTACTCACTATTTCCTTTCCTTATCTAAACTCATTCTAATTGCTTATCTTTTACTAACTAGTACTTGGTCAATAACTTTGGCACTTTTTCATCAATAGTTCCATAAAATGTGTCCGATGGCTTACATCCAGTGGTGATAAGATGCCAACAACTGTCGTATGATGACCAGCAATGGTCATATCCCATGAACGTAATAAAACTAAATTCAGTTGAATTGTTTACTTAGATCTGAAGAAAAGTAGGGTATACGTCTAATAATCGCTTACGTTACTCGTGATTATTGTTCATCAGAGAATTTCAGTATATCGTGAAACTACCCACGTATAATTTTCAAACTTTTTAGTTGGTCTACTCGATGCAGTTTTGTGTACTAGTCTGTGAGTCACCTTTAATCTATGAAGGCACATAGTACTATCTGGATTTTTATCCTGAAGTATCGAGAGGAGAATTTCAATCCGGAACCCATTACATTAAAGCTGATTGCCTAAAAGAGTGAATCACAGCTCCACCTTTGAACTTCCAGTTCAAGTCCAGCGAATGATGTGAATAACAGGAAGGTTGGATAATTTTATCCGAAGATAAATATGCAGAAAATCAGCATAAAGTGGACAGTTTATTAATTTTCGAAGTTGTATCCTCCTCACTGGCAAAAAGAACCTACTAGAAGACTGCTCAGCTCCAAATTCAAGACCAGTCTTCAGATCTATAGACGTTCCAACACTAACCTGATGGAGCAGTCCCTTCACTGAGCAGGAAACATCCAAGCGATGCATTCATATGAAAAGAAGCACCCCTGTTAGAGCATTATATCTACGTCCTCTCAAGCTGATCATTATTACCTCAAAACCACCCTCACTATCAACGCATTCACATCCACCGGGTAATCGGTTCATTGGCCGTAATCACCATCTCCATCGACATACGTGCATGAAACGCGTCCTACTGAAGTCTCCATAGCCTTGCAAACTAAACGCAGTTGACACTCTCAAAAAAATATTCCCACAGTAGGCCTGGCTCTTGAACCTATAATACGGACTGATTAACGGTAATGGTTTTCTAAATTGCAATTAAGGGTATGGCTAGCAACTTCGGCATTTCAGACTCAATATCTTACGCCTTCGCAAGCTAAGACTACCCTGTCTCTTGGGGATGGATTTAACAACAATAAATCCCGTAATTAGGAAGTTGGATTCACCTTATTTTTCGGTTTCACCGCTCCCCAGCTCACTGAGTGGAATCCTGATGGCTGACAAAACCATGTGTGTTTTAGTGATTCACACCCCTGGTTACACCCGTATGATCTTGTCGACCGTGATTTTCTCTAAGTCAACTTGAAGATGTATTAATTAATATCCAACAGGACAACTAGGGGAGTCATCTTCGTACACAATTAGGCTTGAACTATAATCTCCAGTGTACAAAACATCCCCGGTTTTCAAGAGCTAGCAGCGCAAACCCAGCACCACTTATCGACTCTGAGTACAGCTTCTTCGCTTTGACACTCTACCAAGTTACACATTAGGTGGATTTATACTGTTTATTGAGTAATGGTTGTTCCTGCTACCTAGATTTATCGACTATGACATCAAGAAGACCTTAAATAACGGTTGCCAACCGTCTCACGGAAAACCTTTTCTACGAAGCTGAAATCAAAAGGCGATATTGAAGGTAAAATCCTCAAACATTTCCGCTTATTATCTTTAGGGAAGACATTTCACACAGCTAACTTGAGAATTACATTTTCCGGTAGGCACTTAGTCTTTCATTCTAAGTTACTCGGTTGTAGTTAGCATAGGAATCTAGGACGCGCTTTTCATCCTATTTGGTACTCATCAGCTGGGTGTACCTGTTTATGTTGTTCCCACTGAGACGCAAACCTGGTAACCATCGCTTCAAACGTGCGCCCTGGATTCCTCTGCCAGCCACATCCAAGTCAGTTACCATAATAAATATTCGAGCAATATCGAGGCATCCACATAGGAGCCCATATGCCAACAGAGGTCGAACGATTCGATGCAGTATAACAACGGAGAATTACAAGCGTATCAACAAATGGTAATTAATCTATCAATGTGTTGAGGGTAGCTCAGTGTGCATCTATCAGTCCACTTGTTCATGTGGAGCAACGTACATTAGCCATACATCGCATCAAGTCCATTGACGTACTTTGAACACTATTCAACTTGGATATCCAGAATAGATGAAAGTAATGTCAATATCTCTATTCCAAAACACTTCATCATTTACCTTTAAAGCTGTTCCTTCATTGCAGTGTACAGAGTTTCCCTGAAATTTCAAAGAATTTCGATTACGTCACCCATATGCAGCCAAATAATTAGTACTTCCTAATCTTGAAACTAATATTTGTGTTCAGAAGCACTGATAAACTTTTCTTACCTTTTTCTTATGCTATTTCTCTCTCTTTCAACTTTTTTGTGGCGTCATTTTATTTTTACGTTTTTGTTGTTGATCTTTTCATTTTAGCACTTATTACGCAACCTCTTACTGGTCTAAGCCTTTAAACCTTCCCCTGACAGATTGTTTTTTCTCACTGTATAGCATTTTTCCAGAATACAGTACCACCATCTTATTGGTTTCAATTAGTTTTGTTGAATGTAAATACGATGGTACAGCGTTTGAAAAAGAGATCGTCGAAAAGAAAGTTTTCTTTGCTATTACTTCTTGTCCTAAGATTTTCGATTTCAATATGAAATCCGGTAGTTCCTTCCGAATAGTCCACTGACTGACACTGTCGATTGCAACAGAGTATATTGTAAGTTCAATCATGTGAGAAGTTTAGAGCCATAAAATAACAGGCAAACCTTGTTGACAGTACCAATGACTAGAATTTAAGTTCATGGTTCCCTTTAATCCCCCAACGAAGAAGCTCTCTCAGTTGAAAATGATTAAATTTTACAAAAACAAACAAGTCTCCAAATGATGCACATTAAGAAGTTTAAGGTATTCTTTGTTTAAACTCAAATAGTGTATGGGTTGTTTGAACAGAAGTTTTCTACTTATTTCTTGTTGCCTATGTTGTATCGAGTTTGCATTTAAGTAATACTGATACTGATTATTGCTCATCACTATAAATAGAATTTAATTGCCTATATCACACTTTAATTTTTAGATTAACTAGAGTGTCGACAATTGGTTTTCATCTATTGCTGAAGTTGTGATAACTTGAAATGACACATGGTGATGCTTCCTGCTAACGGAAGCATTTAATTGTTTCCATAGTTTAAGACTATTAGTTATACGTCAGCTGAAGTAACTAGAGTGGGTTCAGACCGGAGAAAAACTCTGGTTGGTGAGACTGAAACATGGCCTCACTGCATGAAGTCCTTGACTGTCTGTCTGAGCCTTGTAGGAAGATGCAGACTAGCTAGTTAGGGTTTATGTGAAAACAGAAACCATTAGTTGGAGACTCTAGATGATATGGCTACAAATCGATGTCAATGGCACAGGTGTATACACACCTGATCTTCTTAACCTGTATACTGAATTCAGCATTTTATCATTCCTCCTTCCTTTATTTTACTGCTCTCTACTCCTTTTGACCAGTTTTTCTTTCTTGCTTCATCTTCCAGTTGATTGCCTTGTTACTTGATGTGGTGATATGAAGCGTGGTCACCACTACGCAGTAATGCCTAGTACTATGTCGATGACGATTAGTTATGCCGACTAAGGTAGTAACTGGATCACTGCAATAAAACATAACGCGCTTCAGCTCATCTATGTTGTGGTTGTCATGCTTGTTGAAGAAGGAAAACAGAAACACCTCATCCGATACAGTACCTCAGATTCTAGGTAACCTGATCATTTGATGCTCGAATACAGAAATAGAATGGAAAGCCTAAGGAAATCAGAAATACCTCAAACCTGTTTATGTGTGTCGTCCGGATACTTGACCACCGGCTCAATACTGATTATGATCATACCTATTAATACTCAATACTGCTCATACTATATGACCTAATAGCCACATTAGATACCTCCAATGGAAAGTTTTTGTTGATATCCCTCACTAAATTTGGTATATCACCTCACCTAGAGCTCGTTGCTCTTAGTGCACCTGGTATATTGATGAACTGCATGTTGAGGTAGTCGCAAAACTGTAAGCAAAGAAGTCAAGTCGCCTGACGAAGCTGTAAATCTCCATCAACTAAGATAGTTGTGATATATCTTATGTATACTGAACAACTTTCCAGAAAAAGCTGAGCATGGTCTAATCTGGATGAGTGCCGAGCCTTGTTTCTCCGCATCTCATACTCTGAGAAGGTGCCCTATTCCCTCTGTGGAACGCAACTTCGCCAACTTTGACTAATACTGACTGACAAACTGGACACTACCCCCAATTATGCAGGAGGTGCCTCCAGAGCCTACGCAGTACTGCACTTCATGCGCAGACAGTTGAACGCCTTGACCCCGGAACTCTTTTTGAAGCTGTATAAGACCTAAATACGACCCCACCTAGAGGTACACAACGTCACTGCACCACCATATCTGAAAAGAGACGTGAACCTCCTGGAGAAAGTCCAAAGGCGAGCTACAAAGGGTGTCTTGGGACTGAGGTAAAAACCATTTCAGGGCAGGCTGAAAGATCTAGGGCTCTACTCCCTGAGCTACCGTAGATTGCGTGGTGACTTGATAGTGGCTTACAAAATACTCAGTAACCCAGTCATCCGAACAGTGGAATCCTACTGAAAGGCCATTATGGCGATCCTCGTGGTAACCCCAGGAGAATCGCTCACCAAAGGGCGAAAACCAGTGTGCGATCACACTTCTTCTCTCTGGGAGTTTACGGCCACTGGAATGCATTGCCTGCCGAGACTGCTACAGCTGCGTTTGTTGACAGCTTCAAGAAGAGGTTGGATAGTTACGCAGCGACGCAGGGTTTGCGCTCATCCAGCTGGGATGTGGACTGGGCTGACACGAACTACTAACTGGGTACGACCAACCGTTACTGAACATTTTTTAAAGCCACCATCACTGGGAATTTGGCTGAACCTTATACTTTCTATAGACGTCCCCTGCAGTTACCGTCTACTGAAAGAATTACTATATACCCATTCTTCCCATAATGTTATTTATCTTTCTTCCTTCTGACTTTACTCTCTCAAACCCTAACAAACACCCTCCCCACCATCTCTTCCCCATAAACCTATCAATGTCTCTTCTTCTGTGCCGTTTTCTTTCTCCTAATCGTCTTTTCCTTTCTGTTTTTCTTTTTGACTTCCTTTGCACTTTCTCTACCTTGATTTCTCTGCGTATGTTTTTCATCTCATGTTTACAACCAGTCCAACCAATTATCTGCTATCACAACACTTGGGGAACCAATCTGTACCACAGTTCTCAGAAGAAAAAACGAAAAACGAACAACACTCCCAACAAATTAAACCAACACCCAACCGCCTAACGGGCTAACCAGAGCTACTGCAGTCCAGTGGGTTGATCTACTGCACTGGAATCCACCAAAGACCTGGAACAATCCTGCAGGCCTCAAAAGTGAGCGCGAAGGAATCAATTGGCTTACGCTAGCTTGTAAAAAGGTATTGGATATTGGTCTTTGGGTATTGAACGTGGCGCGCTCCTTGAGTAATGACGTGTTTCGCTCGTCTCTCAGCTTTTGGATTTTTCCACAATGAAAAACTCCCACTTGCAATACTCAATCTAAAAACATCGAACGTTTGCAGCACTTCTGTCCGTCCACGCACCTCACCCCTGCGCATTCGTCAGCTCACTCCTCAACAGTTGAAAATTGGCATTATTATTCCTTTGAACCAACCGGTCTACCTCCTGTCAGTGGTTCTTGGGCGTTTCAACTGCCAAACTGCCTTAGCTCTCGGTTCTCCTCGGAGGTCATTCCCCAGGAAATATCTTTCCTGGTTATACATACGCATCTGGAGCTTACGGTTAAACTCGTTGGTCAAGAGCAGAGGATCAAGTGACAAGTGTCTGAAGGTGAGCCAACATAAATTATCTTCCCTTTTCTATTCTGTCCTTTTGCTGCATTCAGTCTTCAACCCTCTTATTGTTGTTAACTACTTGTTTTCCCAAGAAGTTTATATCATAGCGACATGTCTGCCCAAAACGCTAGGTCTGAAGCTTTGACACGGATAACGCGGTCGTGCACAACAACGGCCAGTAACACCCTAAACAACACACTAGTCTGTACTAGAAGACAAACAGAGGTAGGGCAGAACACCGAACTTCTGAAGAAGTGGCCAACCCATGTTTCTAGAATTCCAGTAGCCATCAGACAGGTGACACAGAGTAGCACTAGCCCGTCACAAACTAGTCCTATCTTGAGCAAGGATCATACCATGCCTGAAATAGAAGACGACGTAAAAGGCTTCAGAACAAGGCAGCCACAAGCAGTTCGCCACAATCCGTAGCACCTTATTCATGGAAGGAAGGCTGTATTACGACACCCGATGGCTGCAGTGTTTGCACCAAAGTTGTTTCGGTAGTCGATGAGGCATTTGCATGCAACCTGTGTCAACGATGGGCGCATTGCCACTGCGATACCAAAGTCCCCCGACAATACTATAAGCTGATGAAGAGACAACCATGCAAGTGGTTCTGGTACATCTGTCCAGAGTGCAGGAAAATGCCCGCACTCCGCACAGAAAGCCTGAAGGAGATGCTCTCCGCCACGCAAAAGCTACCAGCATCCTCGAATAAAGTAGGGTTAACACCAAAGGATAACACAGAGAGACCTGGAAACAGACCTAGAGCTCCAGCTGTGGGCACGCCACCTCGCGTGGGGACCATATTAGGTCAAGTCTCCATACCCCCTACCCGGCCCCAGGGGACGTCAAGCGCATGGCCAAAGACATCGACCGCCGAAGCCTCTACGAAACCCATTCCGAACACCCCACACACCGTGACTGAGAAACAACCAGTGGAATTACTCAAACCCATTGGGAAGTCGGGCGTGCCACCCACAACGAACCCAGGTCACAGGAGGACCAACTCGATCATTTTGTTCAACGTCGATGTATCGACAGACTCATTGTTGGTCGAGAGGGAACAATTTGACAGCCGAATGTGGACCGACTACTGTCAGATGCTGGGACTCCCTCCCCTCCCTGCAACTTTATGTCGCCTTTCTCGAGGAAGCCATGCACCCCGAGATAAGCCACCCCCTTTACGTGTGTCCCTAAATACCGCCAAAGAGGCTGAAGACACACTCCTCCTCTCGCGACAACCGGACGTTGTTAATGCCTGTAAAATTCGGGCCAGGCCTGACAAGCCATGGTCAATAAGAGAGGAGGAGAGAAAGTCAGCGGTTGGAAATCCCAACAGAAACAACACTATAGTTGTACATGGGATTCCAGAATTGCCAAGTGACAGCTCGGTCAAAGATCGGTACTTTCACGACGTCCAACAATGGCAATGGCTCTCAACCAAAGTTGGTCTCAACAGTATACCGGCCAACAGCGTCAGTAGACTGCCAAGGCCAGCGCACCTGAAGACCATACCCAATCCCAGACTACTTGCCGTCCAGTTCGACTCATATGCCTCCCTCACAGACGTTCTGCACGCATGGTATAATGCGAAGGATCGCATGGGTGGCTCAATACGTATATGTGAAAGTAAGCCTAGACCCACAAGGCAAGAGGAGAGACGGCAACCACCAAGACCTCTGGAGTCAGTGGTCGTCACACAGGCGCTGACCAGTGAGTTAGATACATCAAGTAAAGAAGCCACCACTGCTACAGCCCCCACCCAAGTTAAGAACAAAACACAAAAAAACGGAACAATGCCAGTCCTATGAGGACTGGCGAGGCTAAATTCAACCACGTAAGCGCTCATCCCGCGAAAATACACATCCAGACCTCCCCTCTCATCAGGCACACTCTAATATGTATGTACAGCAACGTTAGGGGGCTAATAGGGAAGGTAGCAAAAATGAGGACGCTGCGTGAACATCAGCACTACGACATCATATTCATCACCGAATCCTGGCTCTCATCGGACATCTCCGACGAAGAGATGCGTGTTGCTGGCATGGAACTCTTCCGCAGGGACAGGGAACATAGAGCAGGAGGGGGAGTGGCTATCTACGTAAACTCCTGTTTAAAGGCAAGGATGGTTAGCGATACGGCCTTAACCCAGCTCCCAGAGTCTCTATGGTGCTACTTCACTCTCTTCTTTATTCTCTCTTCATTCCTTTACCACTACCTTACTATTCTCTTTCAGGTACCTACACAGACAGGAGTCACGGCAGTTCTCTAAACTTCCCAGCAACCCGTAGCTCCCTAATCACTCTACAAATTACAACCTACTAACCCACAAAACATCCACCTCACCGAAGCTAAAAGCAAGAAAGCAGAGGGGATTTCCTCGTCCACTGCAGGAGTAAACCGAACAACTGGAACCAAGCCCTAAGAACTAGACGCGAGAGATCAAAAACTACCAGTTTTCTACGCTCGCACTATCAATATTGGATATTGGATTGGATTGGGTATATAAGTCTTGTCCGCGGAAATTGCATTGTGCGTTACATTGATTCTTCAGGTTCGAGTTAGTATTCGTCGTCGGTTTCATGTATATTTTATGCCAACTTATCTTCTTGAACTACTTCAAATTCAATAATATGATTAAACTAATAAATCGTCACCGTCGAAGCTAAGTTTTTTAGCGAAACACACTGCCATATTTCCTGTTTCTTTACATGTAAGCAGATTAACCACCGTAAGAAGTGGTGATCCATGGATTTTACACGCGGAAACGAATGAAGCTAAAGCTTCTATTCTTTCAATATCTATTTGAACCATTTCTGCATAAGTTTTCGCAATGAGGTGTGGGGGAATACTGGTATCACTAGTTTGTCCCCAGTAAGAATCACTGCATTAAAGATAAGAACAAGCGTATACATCTGAATCGGCTTCTTAAGTACAAGTTAAAAAGACGGGAAACAGGCCTAATCAAACGCTGTGCGTGAAAAAAGTGGAAACATTTATAAGAATTTCAGTTTTGCTGTAGTGGTTTCTTTGTAATCACTGTTCTTAAGACCGGCATTCATGGTTCGAATATGTGTTCAAGCAATTTAGTACTAATCTGCCACTGTAATCCCTGTAGCCTTAGGGATAAAGTATGCAAGCCGGGCCACCTGGTTGAGTGTTTGGAACCATCTGTAATAGTAGTTACTGAGATAAATATTGATTACGGTTGTGCATGTCGTCACCGATTACAGATTAGGCGTTTATTAGGATGTACACAGTCGGTTTGAAAGGTTGGTGGCGTAATCCCGTATACAAAGGAGAATCTACAGTTACGTTCGACTACTTTGGATTCATATCTGAGACTGTTGTTCGCAAAGTCGTCCTAGCGAAGTTTTGTGACGATGGGAGTAACTGTTTGTAGTCCGAATTGCATTGCCGATGACTTCATGCTAAATTTTGTTGTAAAGGGTGGTGGCAATAGATGTTTGTAGATCTAAGTACATCCCATGTTAACTTGCAGGAGCTTACCGTGTTAGCCAGGCGGATGCTTTAATAACATTGTTATTGGTCGTTGTCAAATGCACATAGCTTCATAGTGTAGCGTTCTATGCGTTATGAGTCAACACATGAATCGTCAGTTCTAAACCTACTTTGTCCACTGATATGAGGGCTTGATAAAGCTGAATTACTTACTTCTATTGGCTCGTTGTGTTTATGTTGTAGTTATGCATAATTGTGTAACGTAGGTTTCGATTTGTGGCTCGATGCGTCCCCACCAGTATGTTTGGCACGTGGATATGTTAGAGGTTGTGAATTGTGCCATTTTAGCTGATTGGTATCTTGACGTAGGTTGGCCAGCAGTTAAAAAGACCTGGGAAAAGTCTATAAATTGTTCGACGTATTGACGGTTCATTCCTTTGTCTGATGTTCAAAGGTTATTGAAATTCAGAAAACGCTTATGAAACCTAATCTCAGCTACAGGTGGTGAAACATTCAGACTGCAATAATGTAAGCTTAGAAACAAATGTCTATCATAATCTACATGACATAGCTTACGGGAGATTGCTAATGAATGATTGTTTTAGGTTTCGTAAACTGCTGTTGCTACATATTGAGAGAAGCACTAGAAGAAGTGGTGGTATTGCTGTTTAAGTGTATGGTGAAGTGGGAGACGTAGCTAAAACAGGAGGTTTATGCAACGATTGTAGCCTAGTATTTCCTGCTAGAAATTCTGTTGGGGTTGTGAATACTGTTACTTTTAAAAACGGTTTCCCAATAGGAATTCTTAAAGTCACAAAGGAGAAAGTTTTCCAGTTGCTGTGAAAACTAAGATATAAGAATTTTCCTTGTCTAGATTTTGTCCTAGGCTGCTGTTGCTGTGGGTTCAGATTGCTGTACTACTCATGATATTGTTATATAATGCACGGCTGCCTTAAAATTGGAAGGTTACTATATATAATCTTGTTTAAGGGAGGTAATAGACAACTAGTCACCAAAAATCGAGCTGTTCGCCTTCAAAATGTCGTCACTAAGTTAGTGGGGGATATACTGTGTAATATTGAACCATTTAGGTACACTGTGTATTGACACAGGAGCAACACCGCCTCTCAGGCGGTTCTCACCACCCAAATGCAAATTGTTGCTCCAGGATTGGTCTTAAGTGGTCCCACGGCTAACAGTAGAGAGTGAAGTGGTTGAATGTGTCGACCACTTCACTTACCTGGGAAGTAGGATCAGCCCTGGTGGGTCAGTTACCGATGAAATCTCTGCACCCCCATACAAAAGGCTTGGTTGGCTTTTGCCAATTGACGCCATCTGTGGCGCCGCCGTGATTTCCGTTTGTCTATTAAGGGTCGCGTATACTGCACAGTAGTCCGTTCTGTTCTACTGTATGGCTGTGAAACATGGCCATTGAAAATGGAAGATATAAAAAGGCTTCAGGTGTTTGACCACCGTTGCCTTCTTAGTACAGGCTGTATTCCGTGGTGTCATCACGTGAGTAACGCAAAAGTTAGGAGTAGAGTTTTAGGGAGTAGAGGTAAATCAGTTGTGAACCTTCATCGATTGAGGTGGTTGAGACACGTACTACGTATGTCTAGTCTCCGATTGCCTCCTCACACAATGTTGGCTGAAGTAGGCCCAGGCTGGAAAAAGGCCCGAGGTGGCCAGACTAAAACATGGCACCAATGGATGAAGTCTGTGACTGTTGGCTTGAGCCATGTGGGTCGATGCAGACTAGGTGGTTGGGGTCGACGGGACAAGAGGAACCAGTGGCTGGAGACTCTAGGTGATATGGCTGAGAACCGATGTCAGTGGTGCAGATGTATACATACATTATCCTCATCTTAACGACCGTGTACTGAATCTCACCACTTTCTCATTCTTCGTTTCTCTCTTTTCGTACTTTATATTTCTTTTGACTGAATTTTCATATCTTCATCTTTCACCTCACTACCTTTTTACTTGAAGTACTGATATGAGGTGTGGCAACTCGGACCGTTAGGCAGTAATGCCTGGTCATATGTTGATGATGATGATGATCAAGTGGCCTCTGTTGTTTAACATATCTACTGGCAAGGGATGAGTTGGTAAAGGCTAGGGACAAAGAAACACCTGTGAACTTGGTTTCTATTGATTTTAGAAAGTTGTTTCTAGCAGGGTTGATAAAAAACTCACTAATTGGACATTAACATTGGGGTTGAGTTGTGAATTAGGTATTATCTACATGAGATAAAACAGTAGGAGTGAGTGGAATATTGTTTGAGTGGGAAGTTGTCACGCTTCGTATTTTTCAGGACACTATTTTCGAATCACTTTTCTCTCCTTTGTGTTACGGAAGTACGAAGTATGGTTAAGTTGATTCAATTCACTGATTAAGCTGAGGTTTGGTAGATTACTCACGATGATGATGGTAGTTGTGCACTCAAATCTAATCTTGGTGAACTTACTGAATTGTTAAAATGACAGATCATGTAATTCAACTCCAGTAAAATTACAGTAATTTGCATTGTGTGTCATTATTTTGGTGGCTAACTGCTTCAGTGGTCGATAATTATTTCAGGTTTCAGAGCAAACAGGAGTTATTGTCAGCCGCGGTCTGAAGATAACTACGGATTGTAATACAGTTGCGGTTAAATCCCTTTGCGTGATTTGGTCGCTTCAAAGATCACTCAAATGGTTTGATGTTCTCAATTCTATACCCTGTGCATGTAAGGCCTTATTTGAAAAGCACTGTCTCTAGACAGCAAGTCCGTGGTCCTGAGAAAAGGTGGGTAAATTCGAACAGATTTGAAGAGCAAGCGGCAAACTAGTGACAGGTGTTACTTGCCTTCTGTATGAAGAGTGATTAGCAAGCCTAAACTGTTTTCCTTGTTTTATCTAAGGGAGAGTTAATCTAATTGTAGCCATTCGTATTATGCATACTAACTTAGGTATTGATTTACCTGGTCTTTTTACTCTCTCTAGGATTGATCACTCTAGAGGCCATCAGAAAAAGATCTAGACCGTGTTCGTATCATCTTCGAGCGAATCATCGACTGTAACTGGTTACTGGGGCAAGTATCAGATGATGCGGGGTTGAGATTCGAGCAGATGTGAATCTTCATTGAGGTGACTTCTTTAAGGTTCAACCCAGGCTGTTAGTTTACTATCCGTATCATTAAAGACTGAAGGTGTAATATATTGTAGGAAATTTGTCCTTGTTATCGTGGTCCGAAGAGATGCCGTTTGCTCCGAAACTGACACATCTCACCAGGGGAACACTTAGGAAAAGGGTGTATGAAACTTAAGTCGAGTTGATCATTTAGGGATGAAAATGTGGATGCTCATTGTAATTGAGCCACGCCGTGGGAGCGTGCTGAGTATTTTGGTCGTTTCATAAAGTTTACGCTTTCTTTGGTGAAAGCGTTTTCCGGGTATTTTAACTCACATGTTTTATCTCATATTGAATACTACATTGTGTCTTTGACTCATTGCTTTATAAAACATTCATTTGTTAAATTGGGTTCAAAATTTTGTTGCTAAGTTGATGGGTCTGTTCAACTTATCCTGTGAGAAGCGTTTAAAGTAACTGAACGTACTTCTATCGTGTTGTTACCGAAGAACGTGTGATATCATATCAATATTACGTATCCTTAACGATGACTTGGATTGACATTATCTCATCCGTTACCCTCCACCAGGACTAAATTATTCTGCGGACACAACGAGAAAAGTCAACAATCATGGTTGGGTCAACCTTGTGTCATTGTCGACCTCCCCATAGAGTGGTCAGCGGCTGAAACTTTGTACTTTGGCAAAATCGAATTACAACTTACCACTGCTCAGGTTTTATCGCTATATTACTTTAAAGTATATTTTTTACATTTCAAAGTGATAATTATGAATAATGCTAAAGTAGTAATTATTCTATGCTTTCATGAGTATCGTAAATATATTTTTCTCTGCCACAAGGAGTGAAGAGCTCCACGAGTGCGCACTCGAAATCTCTTGGAATCTTTAAACACGTTTATTTTAGTCTGGTCATCTGTCCATGCCTTTTTTGATTAATTTTATGCTTTGTGTCAGCCTGCGTTGATCATCAAACTTATTATCGAACAAGGGAGCATACATTTCTGTAGATTGGTGATAAGTAAAGTCGAATAATAAAAACTGAAATTTAGTAGATGTCGTGGGGTCTAGGATGCTATGCTGTTAAGTTATAATCGCCAAACAGTGCCGAATGGATCCTAGATATCGAAAATAACAATTGGGATGAAAGAGTGAGAGCCAACAAATTCTTAGGCTCCTATGCGGTCGATATCAACAGACTAAAAATGCATGATGTCTGTGTAGTCTTATGGGATGATTATTAGGGTGGTTCAAAATAATCTAATTGTTGATAAGTCGATTAGTATAAGCCATAAACCAGTCAAATAATTATGGGCAAAGAGTAATTAAGCAAAATAATATAAGGTAATACTAGTTGGTCTGTAGTAGGTTTTCTGGGGGGATATTTCTTAATAAAATGAAGTAGTTAACTTCGGAAACCTTTCTGTTTTGATCTGGACTATTCTGGTTCAATAGCCAGAGGATTTGTGAGTTTTATTCCCGTCCTAGATATTTACAGTTAAAGTTAAGAAAGTTTATTAACGTCGAGTTGTTAGTGAGTAGCTATGACAATGAGCAACAACAGTTGAAAGTTACGACTGACAAAAATAACTGGTATGATGTTTTTAAGCGATCCAGCTAGTGGTACATTGAGTTTTAAGCTCTTGAAATGTTTTAATTTGTTTGGTGATCTATCTCCTAAGAAATAGTTTTACTCCCTAACATCACCACAACGCTTTATTGTCAGTTCATGGGGAAGTAGTTACCCATTCTGCATATTCGTAATAAACGTGCGTTATTTCCATTCCTTCTAAGTACCCTATTGAGATACCATATGCTATATTAATTGTACTGTTCATGTAAAGACGATATAACAGTTAATTTGCACGTCAATGTACCAGATTTCTACATTTCATAAAGATGAAGCCTGCACATTCAATCCGTAAATTTTTAGTGTGAGTTACTTGTGTAGGCATTTCGACTCTCAGTCAGTGGGTTACAGATCTGAACACTGCCGCACCTGTGTAGGTGTGAATAACCAGGTAGCATTCGCAGTTTTCGCATAATAGTTGTGGCTTGTTTTCTGCTGCAAAAAGATGCATGAGGTTTCTGAGTTGTGTCTCACTATTTTACATTATTCTTGAACTGCCGATCAGTATCCCAAGGTCATTCAATAACTTATTATTATTTGTCCCTTGGGTTCCTAGTGGAACATAGGGATTCAGTAGTACTTCTCTATTTCACTCTCTTCTCTGCAGTCTTTTTAACCTGCCTCCAGGACTGCCCATTAGCTTTCATTTCTTCTTCACACCACCTCCTCAATGTCACCCTCAGACACCCACCTCGTGGTTTCCCCTTTATGTTCGACTTGAGGGCCTGGGCTGGCGCGTGATGTCCCCAAACCGTCTTTTTAGTGTATGTTCAGTTCAATCCATGTCCACTTTTCTCTGCATATTTGTTGAGCGGTAGGTTCTTGGTTGGTTCGTTGCCAGCCATAATGAGTTCCTTGTTGCTTATTCTTTCTGGTCATCTGATCTGATCTTGAGTATCGAGCGAGCGTAGGCGGCAGCTGTTGATGTATGTCTGCAGTTTGTTGGAAATGCTTTTCGTGACACGCTAAGTCTCTTTCAACCATCACATCGAAGCACCGACTTGACTGAATTGGTGTTTAAAATCGGGATGTTGTTCACGCTTTATGCTGAGTGGAGTGGAGTGGAGTGCAAAGCAGTAGACGTCCACACTGATTTCAGAATAATACAGGAAGGCCTGTCTTGCTGTTTTCCTGATGCTGGCTGGCTTTGATGTCGTCATGTGTGCTTGTGCCGCGTGTAGTTGAGACGATGCTGCCTAGGTATGTAGGTAGGTAGGTGGGTGGTTGAAAGAGACAACTTCGTTTAGACTTCTCCTGTTGATGGTGATTGGTGCTTGTTGATGTTGTTGTTGTTGTTGGTTGAGTATATTCATCACCTCTGTCCTGTCTATGTTCACGTGAGGGAAGTCCCGTCTTCGTTGCCCTATCTCTTCCAGCAACTTGTTGGTTTTTGCCAGTAGATCTTCGAGTTTGTGCGACAAGACACAAAATCATGATGGGCAAAATCCAAATAGTATAGGGTGTTTTCATCGGTCAAACAGCCTATGCCCATCTTGTGGCTCCTCACAGTTTGATACATGATCCAGTTCAGTCAAGTGGACCACAATGAGGAAGATGATCGGTGATAGTAGGCGGAACCTTGTCTTACTCCTGTCTTCACTTCAAAGGCATCGCTGAGCTTCCCAATGTGAATCACTCGGCATGTGGCGTCGTCATATATCTGTTGAATGAGGTTGGTAAAGGTTTGTAGTACTCCGTAGTGTTGAAAGTTTCCAAATTACTTCTCGGTCGATGCTATCGAAGGCCTTTTCAAAGTGGATGAAGTTGAGGTAGAGAGTTGACTGTCATTCTCTGCTCTCTTCTATGATGATTGGTAGGGTAGTGTTGCAGTTTGATCTGCACATGATTTGTTTTTCCTGAAGCCTGCCAGCCAGCCTGTTCTGGTTGTAATTTTGAATCCAGAGCAGTTTTAAGTCTCTCGAGGACGATGCTGTTTAATATTTAGTTTGTGGGTGGACAGGTGTGGAGCATGATTCCGCGCCAGATCTTGCAAAGACTTAGGTCACCCTTCTTTGGGAGTTTGACAAAGTAGCCCGTCTTCCAATTGGCAGACAGGTACCTTTCCTTCCTTACCTACTTTCCAAACCTTCTCCAGTAGTGGTGTGAGCATGCCCGCTGTTGTCTGTGCGCCTGTTTTCAGTGCTTCTGGTGGAATTTCATCTGGTCGTGCTGCTTTCCCGGATTTCACCAACTTTGTGGCGTTCAGGACTTCGCTTCTGCTATTGTCGGAGGGCTTGTGTTCACCTGTAATTCTGTGTCTGGGCTGCTGGTTCTTTTTCTAATTTGATTTGTTTCAACTTGATGATGCCGGTCGGTCTAACATTTCATTGAATCTTTTCACTGATGTTACCGTTTCTTCTGAACGCTTAGTCAGGTAGTATCGACAGCATATTCTTTATTCCTACAACCCAGGGTACTTAAGGGTATTTAGTAACAGAACATACTTTGTTTGGTTTTGTTTATTCAGATATGTTGCCTTTGGAAGTAGGTGATTGTTAGATGGAACACACCTACTGTGTCAGGCAGTTATGGGCTAGCGTGAGTCATGTTTAAATAGTGGTTAGTAGTAGTGATATATGTAATCACTTCAAACTGAAAGTAAAAAGGCTTTGGCAGCAGGAAAATATCATGATTTTCTGAACTCTTAGACATCTGTTACTGGAATAATTTCGATAAAAAGTAGTGGATTACTTTTGTATGCTTTCAAGCCTGGAGTTGATGTTAACATTAAACTTCAGGTTTATGCGGTGAATTGGTATGAGCTAGACAGGTCAAATTAAAATTGTGTTCTTACCGATTGCTTTGCTTAGCAAAATCATAGCTTTCGAGATTAGTTTATGCGTTACTAGCATTCTTAAATGCATCTGTAACAACCAAGCTTAATAGTCTGAGGAGTATGATCAAAATGACATGTTGAATTTCTAGGGTTATTGATCATGTCAATACTCCAAATAGTGTAACTTTTTTGACTGCTGCACCTATAATTCGTTTGTTGCTTCTCTGCTTGTTAAATATGCTTCATTAGCTACATCTTAGGCATTTTATTCTTTATTGTACTTTTTAAAGAACTTGATAATGAATTGAATAATTGGTATACCTCAGAGGTTAAGGTTACATAACTTTTTACATTAAAACATAACTTTGATTGTTCTGTTATCTTCTATACATTCTTTTCCAGCTTTAATTCGTTGAAGTTCATGTGGTTAAATGAAAGCAGATAGTAACAGTCCGTACACTACAGCCCCATCCAATCCACCATCTATTCATTACGGACCGAACTCTAGTGCTTTCACAAGTACTTTGGGTCTTTCAAAAAGTGGTGCCAGTAACAATACAGTTAATGCTATCACATCATTATCAAAGGGTAATAGTGACCATATTTATTTATTTTACTACCATACTTATTGCAGTTTTTATGTAGTAATGGTGTTGTTTTGAATTTGTTATCTAGATACTTCCAGCCATGAAGCGGGACCTCTTGAGTCGTGTAATAATGTTAATCTTCACAGTCGTCTAGAGAATTTGAAACATTGGGGTGTAAATACATTGAAATGCACAAAACAAATAATAGAAGAGAAACTTGGGACGGCAAGTGTGACATTCGACCAGGAGTTAGAGGATCGGATATCTTCATTAAGGTAAGCTTGTAACATGCTCAAGGCTTTTTGCGTACGGCCCCTGTATTCACCGAAATAGGAAGGTGCACTCAAGTGAAATTTTATGCGTATATCATAAGAATACATTTTATTAATGAGACTATTAGAGATAACCGTGGTTTGGCAAACTGGTGTTATTGATAATGGATAATGATTGAAGATGAAATGAAAATCTGGATCACGGCAGGACTTAAACCAACCGTTTCCAGATTACTGGTTCAGCGTGTTTCGAAAGCTAAAACAAGATTTTTCTAAAAATTTCGCTGTGTAAGCCATAGCTTTTTCAGCAGTGTATTAAAAATGCTCAGAAAAATCCTGTTTTGATGTTTTATACACTGGAATTATATGAAGTATGTATTCTTGAAATGATTTAATCAAGCTTGGTGCTCAAATCTTCCGAGGACGTTAGTGACAACTATGTCCTGGATATCGATAAAAGAATAGCCAAACCCGTTTAAAAACTAAAGATTTTTATTCCCGTGAAGAAACAATATGGATGTCGTCTAGGTTGACTACAAACAATTCACTGGAGGAACTGACGACGCACTCATGATTCAGTTTGGAAATATGTGTATTATATCAATACGTATTTCTGCCAAATGGATTTTCATCCGTCGAGTGAAGACAAAATTATTTCGGTTGAAAAGTAGAGTTGGAGTTTTGGAAAAGTGCGCAATGTGAACTAGAAACTAGATAATGAATAGCTGAATTAAGGCTGTAGATTCATAGATCATAAATATAGACTTTTAACTACTAACAATTAGTCCATCCGTTCAAACCTCACTTCAGTCGTACAGTTTCATTGTTTTTCACACACAAGGTATGGTCTGTAACCCACTACGCACACCTCTACTAGGTTGTTGTGTTGCATAATTATATTGCTTATTAGTGAAATAAATTTTAAAATAACATATTTCACTCTATGTACTTCCACTAACTGAGAATTAGTAGTGTATTTGGATAATGTAATTAGAAGACATAGATTATCTGAAAAATGTGATGTGTTAGTGCTATACATTTCGAACAATCTGATCACATATTTACTTGTTAAGGCATTATATATGAAAACTGGAAGTGGGGGAGGACAAACATGATATAAAGGAATTCAATAATAAGAAAGATAATGAGAGGAAAAGAGGATAAGATTTGAAGACAATCTTGGTAATACGGTAAAATATGCATTACCAAGGTAGGCTTAACGTAAGGACAAACGGTTTTCGCACACACAAAGAAGGGGCTAAATTTGTTTATGGCTAGTGCCTCAACAAACTTAAGTATACGCCCCTGACAGTCTCTATACGAAATTGTAAAGGCCGTTTTAATATCAATCCTGTGACTCTTATGAATGATATGTTTTGCAATGGACGATAATGGTTGTCTGCCATCTGCGCTTATCAATGTTTGTGAATCCAGCTCCTTTCGTAGCCATTTTGGAACATGTTCTCCTACCCTCAAGTGCATATAACGATTAGTCCTCCCTTTGCATGCTTGTCCACACACACACACACACACACACACACACACACACACACACACACACATGCAAGTTTATAAACGCAGTGGGATGTGACGCAATCGTTTATGCAGCGTTTGAAGTCTAGGTTGCAGCATGTGTTTGGTCTTCTCAACTATGGTAAGCTTAGCTGCATAGTATGTTTTGCTAACAGCAGACCTTAACCTTCGTTTTAATATTATGCTGTTAGATTCTCCTCTGTGTGGTAACGCGATGTAAACGCATTTCTTCGAAACAGAGTACAGATTAGGTTTGAATCCTTGCTGAGTTTCGCAGCGGTTTATGAACTTCAATGGATATCCATTTTCCACTAATGTTCCCGTTAGTATTTTGGTATCATCATCCATTGAGTCTTTCGTACAAATACACTGGATCCTTTTAAATAGGCAAGTTACCAAACCTCGCTTGTATTGGGTTGGACAAAAGCTATGGAAACTTAAATACTGACCTGTCCAAGTAGGTTTCCTGTAGATCGACCGTTTTATTCAACCATCATTTCTACGACTTAGGAGTATATCGAAGAATGGCAGACTGTTTTCTTTCTCTTCTTCACATGTTAGGCTTATGTTGTTTTGTACGTTGTTAAGTCTTTCTAACAAACATGTTGCATCTTCATGCTTGTCACATATCACGATTATATCGTCGACATATCTTTTATAGAGAGTAACTTTACTGATGAGATCACCGGTCAAGCCTTCAATTTGTGACATGTAAATATCAGCTAGCAATGGTCCTAAGGGACTTCTTATAGCCACACCATCTCTGTCGAAAATGTTCACCTTCAAATGTGAAATGAACTTTATCAGTACACAATAATAACAGCTCTCTCAAACACGTTGAGGGATAGGGAAAGAAGGATTACTGGAAGGTATATGGTCGCAAAGAATGTCAATGGTTTTAATTAGGGGTACATTAGTAAATAAAGAGTTGATATCAAATAAATACAACCTCTTATCTCTGATATTAATATCACTGACATAATCAACAAGTTCAAAAGTATCTTTTAAAGAAAACTTACATAATTCATTTCGAATAGCAACTAAAGTTTTTGCTAACCATTTCGCCACTTTATGTGTAGGTGAACGGTATATGTCATCATCATCATTATCAACATAGGACCAGGCATTACTGCGTAACGGTCCGAGTTGCCACACCTCATATCAGCACATCAAGTAAAAAGGTAGTGAGGTGAAGGATGAAGATAAGTGAATGCAGTCAAAAGAAATATAAAGTACGAGAAGAAAGGAAAGAGGAGTGACAAAATAGTGAGATTCGGTATAGCGTTGTTAAGATGAGGATAATGTGTGTATACATCTGCGCCACTGACTTCGGTTCTGAGCCATATCACCTAGGGTCTCCAACCACTGGTTCCTCTTGTCCCGTGGACCCCAACCACCTAGTCTGCATCGTCCTACATGGCTTAAACCAACAGTCAGAGACTTCATACATTGGTGCCATGTTTTAGTCTGGCCACCTCGGGCCTTTTTCCAGCCTGAACCCACCTCAGCCAACATTGTGTGACGAGGCAATCGGTGACTAGGCATACGTAGTACGTGTCCCAACCATCTCAGTCGATGAAGGTTCACAACCTCGTCGACTGACTTACCTCTTCTCCCTAAAACTCTACACCTAACTTCTGCATTACTCACATGGTGACACCACGGAATACGTCCTATACTACGAAGGCAACGGTGGTCAAATACCTGTAACCTTCTCATGTCTTCCACTTTCAATGGCCATGTTTCACAGCCATACAGTAGAACAGAGCGGACTGCTGTGCAGTACACGCGACCCTTAATAGACAAACGAATATCACGGCGGCGCCATAGGTGGCGCAAATTGGCAAAAGCCAATCGAGCCTTTTGTATCCGTGCAGAAATCTCATCGGCAACTAACCCACCGGGTTGATCCTACTTCCCAGGTAAGTGAAGTGGTCAACACACTCAACCACTTCACTCTCTATTGTTAACCGCGGTACCGCTGAAGACCAGTCCTGGAGCAAAAATTTGCATTTGGGTGGTGAAAATCGCATCCCAAACATTCTCAAATTCCCACTCAAAGTGTTCAGAAGACTCTGCATCTTGTCAGCGTCTTCACCTAACAGGACTATGTCATCTGCATATTCTAGATCTAAGGAAAATTCACCTGTGATCCGGTCAACGTCTTTGTAATTAGGTGACGAGAGGGAAACCTCCATAAGAATATCTATGATAAAATTAAATAAGAATGGGGATAGTGGGCATCCTTGACGGACACCACTTGATGAGTATAGCTCCCTGGACAACTCACCATAGGCTCTAACATGCCCACAAGTGTTCGAGTAGAGAGCTTTCAATAAGGTGATGTACTTACTAGGCACGCCTTTCAGTGACAGACACTGCCATAAGACTTCTCGATCAACGGAGTCAAATGCCGCCTTCAGGTCGAGAAATACAGCTATTGTCGGGCGTCTGTAAGCATGCCTATGTTCCAGGACCTGGCGCAGTGTGAATATTTGGTCGATACATCCACGGCCAGGTCTAAAGCCTGCCTGGTTTTCTCGGGCTTGCTGTTCCCGAGCTCCACTCAGGCGTCGGAGAATTATAGAACTTAGGATCTTAGACACTATGTTTGTCAGGCTGATTCCTCTGTGGTTATCACAAGAGGACTTCTCGCCTTTCTTGAAGACTGGGATGATCAGTGACTTAGACCAGTCGGAGGGGATCGTATTTGATTCCCATATACTGGCTAACACTTCCGTTAGCCTGACTAAGAGAACTCTACCACCATTCTTGTATACCTCAGCAGGTAGTCCGTCTGGTCCTGCTGCCCTTCCCCGTTTCAGGCTACCTACCGCTTTCTCAACTTCTTCTAGTGTTGGGGGACCTGTCTCTATGTCCCATTCAGGGTCCGACTGGATAGCGGGCAGCGCAATGGTGGCTGGAGGCCAGTTAAACTGTTCCTCAAAGTGTTCTGCCCATCGTCCCAGTCGCCTTCCCTGCGAGTGAATCGCCGATCCGTCCTTCTCCGCTATAACCTCACTAACTGTTGTTGACCATTTCCCCCCAGTCTCCTTAATAAGTCTAAATAACTGTCTACTGTTACCGATCGCCGCTGCCTTTTCCATCTCTTTAGCCTTTGCTGCCCACCACTGTTCACGATCGTTGCGCAGACTTTTCGTCAGTTTATTTTTAAGTTGCGCTCGCTCTTCATTGTACTCAGAGCCTGCAGGGATGCATTCACGTGCATCCATTAGTTTGGAAGAAGCTGCTGATATCCACTGGCTCTTTTTAGCCATTATCTTGGAGTCGGCTACAGTCTCCAGTGCTGCTTTTACAGTAGACTGAAGATGGCACCAAGCTTCTTCTGGATGAGTGACAGTCTTTTGTTCCGATAACTGCCTAGCCAACTTCTCACTGAACACGGCTTTGGTGTTTTCGTTGTCCAGCAGAACTCGTAGTGGTTTTGTTGCCAAATTTTTTCTACGTCC